CCCCCCAGGGGGATGGCCATGCTGCAATCCCTTCTCCTCCAGTCTCTTTTCAGGATTTTGGGCACGTACGTATATGCGCCTGGTTTTTTTTTAGAATGATTTATTTAATTTCATTTATTAATTAATTAATTTTCATTGGACCAGAGAGAGACAGACACACAGAAGGAAAGTGAGAAAGCAAGCCACCAGGTCTGGGACTCGAATCATGGTTGGTCATGTGGGAATGTCCAGCGCCTTAACCACCATGCCACCCGCTGGCTCCTGGACACCCACTGGGTCCAGGACTCGAACTGCAGTCAACTACGTGGGAGTCCAGTGATCTGCTGGTCCCAAGTGCATCTTTTTTAAAAATAATTTATTTTATTTTATTTATTATTATTTTTCAATTTGCTATAGGGTGCATACGATCATCAGAGAGAGAAAGTGAGAAAGCAAGCCACTAGGTCCAGGACTTGAACCACATTCAGCTGTGTGGGAGTCCAGTGCCTTAACCACCACGCCACCTGCTGGTCCCTCTTAAGGGCCTTTTATTTGAAATAAAATCAAAAGCCCTTTAGGGAGAAACAAGAAGAAAGAGGAGCACAGTGCCTAGGACATAGAGTCATTACATTCTTTTTAAGGACAGGCAGTGTCGGGGGAGGGGGGAGGGAAGGATACTGAGAGACTAGACAGGGATGGACAGATACACCATATACACCTGTTGATAAAGTGTTGTATGTTGGTCACTAGGATAACAATAGCACTGGGCCTCTTGCTGCCTATCCATTATGCTTCTAAAGGCCAACAGAAGTCAATCCATCTGTTTCCCTAGTGACGAGATTATCTGTTCAAATCTACCAGCCTTGGGAATGCAGTTGTCTGCTCAACATCCCTTTGGTTTGTCTAGGATGAGGTCTTTTGCGGTTTCAACAGGAAATAGGGCAGTGCAACAGTGCCCCCTGCCGGTCACCACCCAGACAACAAAACCTCAGTTCTTCACAGACCTTCCATCAGGCTGCTCCAAAGCAAGTTAGAAAAATTCTTAGGCCATCAAGAAAGAGTTTATTGGGACCAGCAGTTAGTGTAATGGCTATGTCGCTGAACTCCCATGTAGTCGACCGTGGTTCAAGCCCGGACCTGGGGGGAGCCCGGACCTGGGGGCTTAAACTCACATCGGGCGCATGTGCATTCATGTCCAAAATCACGGCGTGGCCATCCCACAGAAAGTGATTTCTCGCTTTCTGTCTCTCTGTTTCTCTCTTTCTGGCAAGCGCACATGCCCTATAGCTAAAAACCTCTCTAAAATAAGAAAAAAAAAGTTTGAGAGTTAGAACTCTACTTCTCCTAACCAATCCTTTTGCTGAAAAATTAATGTGTACAGGTTACTCTACTGAGAAAATATTGTCTGTCCAAGTTGTTTTTTTTTTTTTTTTTTTTTTTTTTTAATAATTTCACAGTTTGGGAACCAGCAGTTAGCGTAATGGCTATGTCGCTGGACTCCCACATAGTTGACCGCGGTTCGCATCCCAGACCCAGTGGCTTAAAACTCACTCCGGGCGCTTGTGCGTGCGTGCCCAAGATCCTGAGAGGAGAATGGAGGAGAAGGGATTGCGGCGTGACCATCCCCCCTGGGGGGGTGATTTCTCGCTTTCTGTCTCTATGTCTCTCTCTGTCTGGCGAGCGCACGCGCCCTATAGCGAAAACCTCTCAAAAAAATAATAAAAAATAAAAAAATAATTTCACAGTTCAGTAATTCCAAAAAAGAGGAAAACAGCCTCTGGAGGGAGAATCTTTAGAACCAGACACTTAGGAACAATAACTGTCTTGCTTTCTATTCATTGCAGGGGTTAGTATTCGCCCTTTCTTCAATTCTTCCTAAACTGCCAGAGGGTAGGTGTGCTTGACAGGAAGAAAGAAAGAGGGAGAAGGAGAAAACATCCCACAGTGGAGATGTGGTTCCACAACAACCACTTTATTTTTCCATCCTCTTGGGATTTGGGGCACATACATGCACCTGGTGTGTTTTTCAAGCTGCTGGAACCAAGATTTTTTTTTTTTAAAGAATCATTTCTTTATTATCTTTATTTCTTTATTGTCTTTACGTGACCAGAGAGAGATAGAGGAACAGAGAGAGAGAGAGAGAGAGAGAGATTAAGCTGCCAGGTCCAGGACTTGAATCTCGGTCGGCCATGTGGGAGTCCAGCGTCCTTAGCCACCAAACCACCTGCCAGCCCCTGTGGAACCAAGATTTGAAACACAGTTTGAATTGCATGTGTGATCCAGCTCCCTTAACATGAGGCTACAGGCCTGGCATTCTTTTCTTTTGTTTTTAAATTTATTAATTTTAATAAGGTGCTGGACTCCTACTCTTCCATAAGCGAGAGACAGCACCCCCACAGAGTTTCCATGTCCAGTGTCAGCCAGCCAGGATGACCGGCACCTACTTGCCCCAAATAACTCAGGAAAGTCTCTGGACTTGAACTAGAATTGACTCACTGATCGTCACTTTGCCACCACACCACCTCATGGCCCCTGGGATTCTTAATTCTAAATCCTGTTTCACATCTTAATTCTCTAAGGAAAGAGAGTTCCTACCAGAGGAGAGACTTATTACTTTTTGGTAAGGTGGGAGGAGTACAAAAAAATAAAAGATAAAATTCTCAAGTCTATTTACTATTGTGCTTCCAGAGATCCTTCAAGGCATTGCTCCAGAAGTGACAATGAAATTGGTGAAAGAGCTCGACTCCACATTAGCTTTTCAGACATTCCTATTTTGCTGTCCCATAAAGGATTCTGGGACAGTGGTCTGTAATAGTGGATTTCTTCCTGATAAAATGGGGACTCTTCCTCATATACACAAAGACTGGAAGTCATGAAACTATCAAGTCCCTAATCATTCCAAGGTTTGGAGGGTCTGGCAGGTTGGTTAATTAATGGTGCATATGTTGATTCTGGAAACTAATGGGAAAGACCAGTATTGGAAACAGAACACTTAAGCTCACAACTGATACCAAGCAGAATGAGAACTTTGTCACCTTGTCCTTCTCTTCCTCTGCGGTAGTTCCCTTCATGGTCTTCCAGGAGATGGGAGACTACCTACCTGAGCCAACTTTGAAAAGAGGTTGCAGGGGATTCCTTTGAGGATGAGGCCCAGAAAACTCTTTTAGACTTCTCTTAGATTTTGTTTCTAGAATGCACCGTGGGGGGGTGGAAGCAGGGGCTTGGAGGATGTGCATTCCGTGGAGAGGACACCGAGCGCCCTAGCAGGTAAGCGGTGAGGGGTAGGCATGGGGAGTGAGGTCAACTGCGGGAGTGTGAGGTCAGCACAGTACCTGTGAACCCGCCAACCATTGTGGACAGCCTGGCTCACAGGAGAAGCCAGGTCACCACGCGCCTCGCGGTTACCATGGCAGCCCTCCTCTTCCCAACCCCGCCCCCCTTTACTGGCCCTAGGCAGGCAGGGAGTGGTCGCCCGGGGTGACCGGGAGGCCCCGCCCCTCGCTCCGGCCGAAGCTCTCCCTCCAGTGGGCTGCCTTCCCGCCTGCCCGGCGAGAGGAGGGCGCGGCAGCGGTGGCGTCACATCCGGGCGGGTGGGTGAGTTCCGGTATTTCAGGGCGGAGCAGGCGGAAGTAGGGACGAGGAGCGGCTGCAAAGCCGAGCGGAGGAGGCAGGAACTCGAGCTCTAAGAGAGAGAAAGAAAGAAAGAAAGAAAGAAAGAAAGAAAGAAAGAAAGAAAGAAAGAAAGAAAGAAAGAAAGAAAGAAAGAAAGAAAGAAATCACATAAAGAGTAGGATAGATTCGAGGGACGAGGAGCTGCTGCAAAGCCGAGCGGAGGAGGCAGGAACTCGAGCTCTAGCAGGAGCTGTGTGGGCACCATGGCCGGGACCACCACCATCGAGGCGGTGAAGCGAAAGATTCAGGTTCTGCAGCAGCAGGCCGATGATGCAGAGGAGAGGGCAGAGCGCCTCCAGCGGGAGGTGGAGGGGGAGAGGCGGGCCCGGGAACAGGTACGGAGAGGGCGAGGCGCCTGCGGGAGGGGCAGGCAGGCGCTGGCGCAGCCTGGACCCCTGGTGGAATCCCTTTTGCGGTGGAGCACGACCTCCTGGGGGCCGGCGGGTCTGAGATGAAGTCGGAACCCGGAGGATGGGTGGGGCTCGGCTCCGGTAGTACAACAGGCGAGCGAGGGGGAAAATTGGGTGCTCGGGCTAGCAGGCTTGACCCTTGAAGGAACTCAGCCTCACAGGGTTTGGGGAGTGGTTTTCCTTCTTTTTCGCCCAGCTCATTCATTCAGTCCCTCCGAGCCGGGCGCGGCCGGGGGAGGGGCTCAGCAGCTTCTCCCTCCCCCACTTCCCCATGAAGGGTGGGGGGACTTTGCTCTCGCTTGAGGTTTCCGGCCCTAGGGGTAAGAGTGTGGGTGGGTGCTACTCTGGCCTGGGAGTGGCAGGCCCGAACTTTCTGTGAAAGGGTGAGCACTGGGTGTAAGAACCGCCGGAAAGCCCCCGGCCTGGCCTGATGGCAGCTTTTCCGCTCGCTCCTCCAGCTCAGGAAATGAGGCAGCAGTCGGCCGAGAGGAAGCGCGGTGCCCTCCCTCCCTAGAGGAGCTTGAGGCCACAGCACCGCCTCCGATCCTCCGGCCTGGGGCCCTTTTCTCTTACGGGGAACTCTTGGCAGCTGCTCCACCTACTCTCAAACTACATGAAGCAGGAGAGAATGGCACTTTCTCCATACAGTAGTGCTAATATAAAAGCCAACCACTTTCTCCCTGCAGTAGTCCCAATATACAAGGCAACCAAACTTGCCCGACTCTACCCTTGATGACCTGGAAGTCAGGACCTTCTGCCCGATCCAGGCCTTTATTGCTGAAGTGTGATCAGTGCATGGGCAGCTGCTTAAGAGCATTTCTTCGAAGCTGATAAGCGAGTGTTTGGCTGAGAATCAGATGGCGTTGACAATCTCAAGGTTTCTGATTGACCTGGGCGGTGTGGTGGATGAAGACTGAATAGAGTTCCAGGTGGCTCTGGTGATCTTCCTGTGTTTCTTTCCCAATTATCCAGTACAGTACCTTTTATTTATTTATTTATTTTGATGTTCAATAAATTCTTGTTCAACTGAAAGTTGGAACATAGAATGTTGGTGGAATGAATGGTAATTCTTGATTTCTTGAAACCACTGTTGACCAGTCTCAGTGAGCCACAGGATTTTCCAAGGACTAGGGTGTCCTCTGATGGGTGGAGCTGATCTAAGTTGAGGCTTTGGTTTTGGAGGATCTTGAGACTAGACAATAAAGTAACTGTTGGTAAAATTTGAAGACCCAATGAAGGAACTCTTGTGGTTTGATATTCTTCCTTGTTACCTAGGTGGAGTTTTTCTCCCCCCCTTCCCCTTTGGCTGCTTCCCTAGGAATTGAGAATTAGTGTTTGGGGGAAGAGTGGAGTGGAGTTTGGGAAAGGGAACAGACATCTGCCCTCCAGGTGAATAACTTAAAGATGGTTAGAACACCATTTATTTTCTTAAGAATTATTTATTTATTGTCATTAGTTTTCAATTTGATCAGGCAAAGAGAAAGAAAGCAAGCCACCCCGTCCGGGATTCGAACCGTGGTTGACCATGTGGGAGTCCAGCACCTTTAACCACCACGTCACTTGCCGGGCCCAAGAATACTAATTTTTATAACAATGCATGAAGATACTAGAAGCTTGTTACCTTCCTCAGTTACTTTTTTTTTAAGATTTTTGCCATAGGGCCATGCACTTGACAGAGACAAAGAGAGAAAGTGAGAAATAACACCGTGTGTGTGTGTGTGTGTGTGTGTGTGTGTGTGGGTGTGTGGCCCTGCTGCAGTCCCTTCTCCAGTGTCCTCTTGGGATTTGGGGTGTTCACATACCTGGTGTGTTTTTCAAGCTGTCAGATGTGGGACTTGAAGTGTGCAGTTGGCCATGTGGGATTTAGCACCCTACCTATCACGCCACCCACTGACCCTCAACCACCTTTTTCTAAGGTAGATTTTTTTTCCCCCTCTGTTCAATATGCAGCAATTTCTTTTCTTTTTTCCCTTTTTTTTTTTTTTTTTTTTTTAAGAGAGAGATTTTTTGCTATAGGGCATGTGCACTTGTCAGAGAGACAGAGACAGAAAGCTAGAAACCACCCGCTGCCACCGGGAGAATGACCACGCTGCAGTCCCTTCTCCGTTTTCCTCTCAGGATTTTGGGCATGCATGCACAACGTGCCCGGCATGAGTTTTAAGTCACTAGGTCTGGGACTCGGACTGTGGTCTGCTATGTGGGAGTCCGAGGTAACCGCCGCACCATCTGCTGGTCCCAGTATGCATCAATTTCTAATTATCAACTGAAATGAGATGGACTGGCTGGGTGACTCTCTATGATTGGTGTCAATTTCTCATCTCCTTTGTGCTTAAGACCAGATAGCCTTAAAGGGGAAGAAGAAAATAGGGGAAGGAACTCGCCATGTGTTGAACTACAGTCTTGAGCACGATATTTAAATATGGGCATCTTAGGAGTGGTTCTATGGTAGATGATGTCTTTCCCCCCTGCACACACCCCTTAGCAATTTAGAATTTGCTCACTTTCCATGTAGGGCTATTTGACTTCCTTTTCGCACCATCGCAACTCTGGGGTGATAGGCTGCAGAGTGAATAACTTCAGATGTTTCTTGAGCTCCTCCTCCCTCAGTCTGAGCCTGCCAAATGTGCTTATTGAGCTGAGATCTGGTGAGGAAGTTCTCAAAATAGGGAAGTAGGGTGATAGTTGAATATTGGTAAAGCCAGTATTTTCTACCCCTCAGCTCGAGGGAACCTAATCTTTTGACTTTGAACCTCTATTGTGAATAAAGAGATGGGAGGGTGTTCCTACCTATGCTAAGGGAAGAAGGTGCTTGGGTTGCCTCTTGTCCTCTTAGGGTATTCCAGAATGTGACTTTTGCAGACTCCAGCCTCCTTTGGAGCTGGAAGCTTAGCTCTGTGATGGAATCTAGGGCTGTTAGGGTTGTCAGTTATTTTCCTGGTTGTTCTGTGTCAACATCTAGGCCACTCATTGGGAAGTAGGATGTGCTCACAGATGCAACACTAAAATTGTTTTGGGAGCCTTCTTTCCAGCTCTTGGTCTGGAGATTGACCTTTTATAATGTAGCACCTTGTCAAATCCATTTTCAGTTTCCTTTATTCTTCTGGCTAAATTTCAACAGATGACAACTTTTTAAATTTAGTCTTGTCTGATTTGGGGGAGGAGAGTTTAAAATGCCATAACATAACAAAATTTACCACTTAAGTATACCGTTTACCTTGCCTTTTATTTTTATTATTATTTTTTATTTCACTAAAGAGGGACAGAGAGAGAGAGAGGAAAAGTGAGAAAGCAAGCCGTCAGGTCCAGGACTGGAACCTCAGTCGGCCATGTGGGAGTCCAGTGCCCCTAGCCAACACGCCATCTGCCGGCCTCCATCTTATCTCTTTAATACTTCCTAATTAATCTTGGTATTTTTCTCTTTTTGATTTTTTCCCCCTGGTCTAAAAAATTTAGGAATACTTTGGGGGTAGTAAATGAGCCGGCTTTGAATACCAGTTTTAGTCCTGGTCCTAATCCCAAATTCCTCGCCTCTGGAGGGACTTCGCATGTCTGGCTATTGTGTGCTTCTCTCCTTTGTGTGGGGTCTGGTAGACTAAGCAGCAAGCTTTATCACCTTTCTTTGGCTTAGATTTGCTTCCCTGTTGCTTACCTTTCTCTTTCCCCCCATACTGGGCACACACTCCAGCAAATAGCCCTTTGCTCTGAGTGCCTCCGCTCTGGCTCCACCTTTGTTTACTTTGGGGCTGATAGCCCTACTCCCTTCCTTCCAACCTGCCCCCCCTCGGTGAAAGTTAAATTCCCCAAGGACATCTCCCTGGGTAGATGCATTTGTGAACACACTGAACTGGAGCGCTCCAGTCCTTTGCTCACAGGGCTGAAACCCAACTTTTCTTTCTTTCTTTTTTTTTTTTTTAATTCCATTTTTATTATTTTTTCTTTCTTTTCTCTTTTTTTTTAACTTGACCAGAGAGAGAGAATGAGAAAGTGAAAAAGCAAGGCACCAGGTCCAGGACTCAAACCACAGTCAGTCATGTGGGAATACAGTGCCTTGAACCACCAAGCCATCCTCCGACCCCTGAAACCCAACTTTTTTAGTACCCTTTTTTTCTCTTTTGAATTTCATATGTGACTTTTATCTAAAAAGAGAAACCGAAGTGTGGCAGAATGCCAGATTTAGGTTAATCCCCTCCTGTCCTTGGCCCTGTTCTGCCTCTGAGCATGATGCCCTGTCAGTTTCTTGCTTTGAGAGGTGTGGCCAGCTTGGGGAATCACTTGGAGCGGAGGATGATAGCATTTGAACTGAATTCATTTCATAGCTGAATCTGCTGTCAGCCATCTTCTAATGTGACCAGATTGCTGCTGCATTCCACTCCCACCCCTACCGCACCCCTACCCCCGGGATGTTTGCATCCCAGACAGAGGAGAATCCTGTTATTTCCTGAAGGGAAAGACCTTGGAGTATGTCCTCCAAGGCCGGCAGATCTAAAGGCCCTAACCACATTTGGGCAAGCATGTTAAAGCCTAGGATGATTTAAAAAAAAAAAAAAAAAAAAAAAAAACAGAGCTTAACATTTCCCAGGGCCATGGGTAATCTGGTCTGCAAAAAAAAAAAAAAAAAAAGAAAAGTAGACTTGTTTTGTCTTTAGGTACTGTATTATTGACCCGAAGGAACTGGGATTGTGCACAGGGTCTGACTTGAAGGAAGAAATGAGGTTATCTTCCTTATTCCTTTAAACAGAGTATCAGATCTTGATTCTGCAGACTTTTGCTTTATTGTAAAGAGAACTGATCCTCTGCTGGAGGAGAAAAAGAACAGTGAAGTCCGGGACCCCTCTCCTCCCACCCCTGGGGTCTCCAAAGCTTTTGCTGGGATTCCCATCTTGGGTTCTGCTTTCCGCACAGGGTTGTGCATGTGCGCATGCTCTTGTGAGGGCACCAAGAAGTGTTTTCTCCTCCTCCCTTTTCAGCCTTGCTAAGAATTCTATTGTAAATGCTGATTTGTGGGAGAAACTGCCCGAGCCAGCTTGTCGTCATGGAAACTGTACACCCCACCCCCACAACCTGTTATCTTTACTCTGTATGCTCCATTCCAGTTTGGGTAACTACTGGATGGAGACTTGAATTTTATACATTTCCTCCAAATCCAGTTCCATTTTCTGGGTGTTTTTTTTTTGTTTGTTTTTAAATTCTAGGCATTGAAAGGGGAGTAAACCCTTGCTGGTGGCGTTTCCTCGATCTTGCCTGATAACCTGACTTGCGCTTGACCGGTTGGCCTTGTTGGGCTTGTGAGGCCAAATGTGTGCTATCCTAGGGGACATCTGTTTTCCTGGAAGAGGCAGACTCTGGAGAACACTTGCTTTGAATAGTATAGCTGGAGACACAAATGATTTCTCAGTAATTTCAGTGTATGCAGGCCCCTCAATTTCCTTTTCCTGTAACCTGCTGGTTAGAGTGTAGTCCCAGTCCCCCATTGAATCTCCCGTTTTGTATGTAGAAATATTGAGGCCAGTCATGATAGTTAATGGGAGTCTTTTGTGCTCTATCCCTCTCCATAGGGTCTGGTGGCCCAGATTATTTCTATAGCTGCCCCTACCCCTGTCTGCCAGAGGAAATCAGGGTAATAGAATTCAAGCACAATCTGGACTGTGGAAGAGAGATCGAGTTCACCAGGCACTGGGATAAGCATCTGTACTGGGCAGTGTGCGGGGCAGATTAAATTCTTGTGTGGTCGCTGTAGTTGGTGCACCTGCCACCGGTAAAGGTGGGGGGGTGGGGAGGCAGCCAGCTGGAGGAAGGAGGGTTTTCTAGGGTTGCCCACGTGCCAGCTGTCTCCTCTTTTCCTTGTTGTTACATTGCCAGGGAGGCAGCCTGGGTTTTCTTGGACTCTAGCCTGTACTTTATCACCGGACACAGGCCAAGGAGAGGATTGTCATAAACTCCATTGGAGGGTGAAGCAGCTAAGGGGATGACTAGGGGAATGGAAAGGGGACCATTTGTTGCTTTTTGGCCTTTTGCTTAAGAGCAAGTGTAGAAAGGAGACAGTTAAATTTGTAGGAGTGGTGGGTAGGCATGGGGGAAGTGTTGTCTTCAGCCACCCCCACCCCAGTCTTTTTTTTTTCTTGTATTGTTATCAAAGCAGCTGATTTTTAGCCAGAAGCAGTTCCTCCTTGTCACCTTTAAAAGGGTGGGGGAGCCTTGCTAAGTTGAAGGGATGGGGAGTAGGTATCTCAGTGTTCCATTCTTTTGCTTTCCAGTCTGCATGGCTCTTGTGGACGACCTTCCCTGATCTGCTAGTTATCATCCTGTTGTATGAGGATAAAGCACTCAGAGGTTAACAGCTTAGTTAAGCAGCACACTAACATATAATCCAAGGTTTCCTCCTTAAGAAACCTTGCTTATTTTTTAAAAGAATTATTTTATTTATTTAACTTTTTTTATTTATACGTTTTTCAATTTGATCAGAAAGGGAGGGAGAAAGCAAGCTGCCAGGTCTGGGACTTGAGCTGCAGTCGACTACATGGGAGTCCAGCAACATAGCCATTATGCCAACTGCCTGGTCCCGAAACCTTGCTTATTTATTCCCCCACTTTATGTGACACTTGTAAGAAAGTTGTTAAGACTGAGACACACCTCTGATTCAACTCAGGAAGAAGGAACCCTCACTGAATTTTTCTGACCCCCTTGTGTTCAGGAATTTGAACCCAGTCCGGAAAAGGGGTGGTACTAACTGTTACTGGGTTGGGCAAGGAACTACGTTTTAAAACATTCTTCCTGTGGAACATACGGGATTTCATTGATGGGAAAGGGAGGAAATGTATAAATACATAATCACGTCTGCTAGATCTTTTAGCATCTGAGCTGGAACAGGTTCTGCCCCTGCTATACTCCAGCCTCTTTGCAGTAACCATCCCCGATGCTGTCATAGTTCTTTTCACCATTCCTCTGCTTCCCTCTACCATTCTTTCATTCAAATGCAGGCTGAGGCTGAGGTGGCCTCCTTGAACCGCAGGATCCAGCTGGTTGAAGAGGAGCTGGACCGTGCTCAGGAGCGCTCCTTAAGAAACCTTGCTTATTTTTTAAAAGAATTATTTTATTTATTTAACTTTTTTTATTTATACGTTTTTCAATTTGATCAGAAAGGGAGGGAGAAAGCAAGCTGCCAGGTCTGGGACTTGAGCTGCAGTCGACTACATGGGAGTCCAGCAACATAGCCATTATGCCAACTGCCTGGTCCCGAAACCTTGCTTATTTATTCCCCCACTTTATGTGACACTTGTAAGAAAGTTGTTAAGACTGAGACACACCTCTGATTCAACTCAGGAAGAAGGAACCCTCACTGAATTTTTCTGACCCCCTTGTGTTCAGGAATTTGAACCCAGTCCGGAAAAGGGGTGGTACTAACTGTTACTGGGTTGGGCAAGGAACTACGTTTTAAAACATTCTTCCTGTGGAACATACGGGATTTCATTGATGGGAAAGGGAGGAAATGTATAAATACATAATCACGTCTGCTAGATCTTTTAGCATCTGAGCTGGAACAGGTTCTGCCCCTGCTATACTCCAGCCTCTTTGCAGTAACCATCCCCGATGCTGTCATAGTTCTTTTCACCATTCCTCTGCTTCCCTCTACCATTCTTTCATTCAAATGCAGGCTGAGGCTGAGGTGGCCTCCTTGAACCGCAGGATCCAGCTGGTTGAAGAGGAGCTGGACCGTGCTCAGGAGCGCCTGGCCACTGCCCTGCAAAAGCTGGAGGAGGCAGAAAAAGCTGCTGATGAGAGTGAGAGGTGTGTAGAGTGTGGATTTCAAAAGAAATTAATAATGGCTCAGATCAAGATTTCCTCATAGACCTGTTTTGTTGTTGTTGTTGAAGATTTTTGCCAAAGGGAGTGTGCACTCACTGGAGAGAGACGCAGAGTAAGAAATCACACCCTAGAGGGGATGGCCACACCTCAATCCCTTCTCCATTCTCTTGGGATTTTGGACATGTATGCACACACACACTTGCACCTGACATGTTTTTCAAGCTGCCAGATCTGGTACTCAAACTGCAAAGTCAGCCATGTGAAATCCAGTGCCTTAAACACCATACTCTAGACCTGTTTTTTTTAAATTAGTAACTTCTGTATCTTATAGGGATGTTCTTTTTGTTGTTGTTGTCTGCATATTTTCCCCCCTTAAAGACAAAGGGAGTAAGGGTTACATGGCCCCTGTGTCCCTTTCATAGTTGATATTCTCCATAAATTGACACAATGATCTTTAAATAGAGTCACCAGTATGGCTTCCACTTTGTGGATCATAAACATCCAATTTTGAGATTACTCCTCCTAAAGTGATGTTCTGAAAGTGAGGTGTTCCCAGACTAGCCATTTCAGCAATACCTGAGAACTTGGCAGAAATTAGATTCTGTTTACTGAATCAGAAACTCAGGAAGTGGAACCCAGCAATCTAAAGCCCTCTCAACTCTGGCTGCACCTTTTTAAATTGTGGGGGTCAGGGGTGACATCACTGGAGAGTTTAAAAATATCTGAATGTGGGCTAGCCTAGAGCAGGTGATGCAGAGATTAAGAGGGCTGGATCCCACATAGCAGACTCCGCTTTTTGACTCCAGGACCTGGTGGCTTGAAAAACAACTGTACGTGCCCAAAATCCTGACAGGAGTCTAGACGAGAAGGGATTGCAGCATGTCCATCCCGTGGAGGGGGTGTTCTCTCTCTCTCCCTCATGCTCTCTCTCTCTGTTCTCTCCAGCAAGTGCACGTACCCTGTAGCAAAATTATCTGGGTGCTTGGATCCCACCAGTTCAATTAGAATCAATTACAAGATGGACCTGGGACCTTTTTTAAGTTTCTCAGCTCATTTTAGTGTGTGGGTAGGGTTGAGAACCATGGCTCTCAAACCAAGTCACCACTCATCTTTGGGAAACAGCCCCTGACTCCGCTACATGTGAGTTAAGCTAGAACACAGGTGTGTGATGACTGACACAGGATTGAACTGAGGCTTCTCAGAATTTAAAATGCCCTGCTTGGGGAGTATTTAACACTACAGGAGACAGCTCTGTGTGTGTATACTATTACAGAGTACTGTCCAAATTATAGCAAGTGAGAAATAACAAGTTTCAGAGTGGCATAATAGCACATTATTTTGGGGGGGAAGTTAGATGGGTTTTTTGGGGGGGTATTTATCTGTATAAAACTTTTGGAAGGACTGCGAAGAAAGCGATCACTTCTGATGAACAGGATTAGAAGGGAGAAGGAGACTTAATTTGAGTGGCAGACGGAAGAGTGGACTTTAAACGGTATAATTCTGGGTCCCTTGAAAGGGAGGTGATGCCAAACTCCTCCTGAGGGTGTCAGTGCTGCATTTGGCTTGTTTCTGACAGAGGTATGAAAGTTATTGAAAACCGGGCCTTAAAAGATGAAGAAAAGATGGAACTCCAGGAAATCCAACTCAAAGAAGCAAAGCACATTGCAGAAGAGGCAGATAGGAAGTATGAAGAGGTAAGACACCTTTGTTTCTCTTTCTCTTCAGTGACTTCAGGCTTCTGCAAAGAATTAAGAATTACTGTCTCCTCCTTTGCTTCACTGAGCTGTACCCGGATCTTTTCCTGTAGGTGGCTCGTAAGTTGGTGATCATTGAAGGAGACTTGGAACGCACAGAGGAACGAGCTGAACTGGCAGAGTCGTGAGTATCTTGCTCCCCAGATCTTGTCATACCATTCTGTCCCTTCCCTTTTGGCTTGGGCACTAATATGAATAAACTGGCACTCCTTTAAACTTGTTAAACAGGGCCTAGGGAGTCGGAGTCCTCTAGTGTTTTTTGGGTTCCTGAGAATGGCTTTGGGCTTCCTTACACTCTTAAACTAGTGACAGATGAGAGATGAGGCTTCCTCATTTCTTGTGGGGAGGGTTTACAAATTGAGGGGAAATAAAGACCAGTTGGTGGTGAACAGTTAATTGGAAGACCCTAGTGGGTCCTTTCTCCTGGGGTTGTTTGTCCTTGTGGCATTGAAGTGGATTTCCTGACTTAAGATCTGGTCTCTGTTCTTGCCACTCTGCCAATCCTCCAGGGTACTTTAGGGCTAGGGCAGATGTTCACTGCTCCCTTGTTGGCACCTTCTGGGCCTTGTATAACAAAGTCAGAGCTGATGCATATGTATTCGTGCTTCCCTTGCATTCCTTCCTCCCAGACATGACATACCATGCCATGGTGGTGTTTTCGTTCCATTTTTTGAATATATATATATTTTTTGTTTGGCTGCTTGTTTTCTTGCCGTGTTCCTTTTTGACCTTTCTCCCTCCCTACAACCTGGCTTGTGCCATCCCCGTGACTATCACTAACAGCCGTTGCCGAGAGATGGATGAGCAGATCAGACTGATGGACCAGAACCTGAAGTGTCTGAGTGCTGCTGAAGAAAAGGTACTAACCATTAAACCACAGAGAGGCTCTGTGTGTGGTGTGGTTTTGTTTGGTTTTGTTTTTGTTTTGCAGCTGCCTCCCCTCCACTGGTCGATCTGTTGAATGCTTTCTCATTTTTCATGGAATGCTCCATTCTTTTTCCACTTACCTGGCATCCTTCATCTCTTCTTTCCTAGTTGCTTCACTGCCTCTCCACAGGGTCTCTCCTTCCCGTGGGTGATTTGGGGCACTGTTTGGGTTGGGTGTCTGATCCCACCTCTACCCCAGGTAGCAGCTATGATTTGTTCCTGGTTGCAATTTCTCCCAAATATTCTTTATTAGTATCCAGACATTCTGAGCCCGGGAGGATCCAGCTCCTGACGTGCTCTATGATAAAGGGAGGAGGGCTGATGCTTGCTCAGGTTACCCGGGAACTTCTCTTCCCCCATATGCCTCCCAACTCTCTCTACATATAGGTTCAATTCACGTCTGTGTGTCTCTCTCCCTTTTTTTATTCTCTTCCTCTTCCCCTTTCCTCTCCTGCGGTATTTAAAATATTCACAGTAAGTGTTCTGAGCTGGAGGAGGAGCTGAAGAATGTCACCAACAACCTCAAGTCTCTTGAGGCTCAGGCGGAGAAGGTAGGGGCTGGTTTGTGAAAGTGACAGGCTTTGGGGCCTGGGCCCAGCCCTGCCCTTGATGAAAGACTGGAGATACCCATTCCTATAGAATCCAGGGAGAAGCACATCTTCCAGATTCTGATATTAATGCTAACTACAGTGCACTTTGATTGCTTTAGTTAAAATAGCTTCATGGTCTCAGGTGCCTGAAGTCACGTGCTCCTCAGGGTGCTGCTGCAGTGCTGAAAGGCAGTAATCAGTGGTCTGATAGACTTCAACAGATAGAACCAGCTCTGAGACCTAATGAGCAATCAAGACAGATGACTTCTCTTTCCCCTCACGTGAATCATTGTGGCCCTGGGCTGTCACTATTCCTGTTCAATTAGCAGGAGGAAGGAAAAATACCTCCTGGGGCAATCTGAATAAGATCAAAGCTTATGTCCATTTTAAAAATAAAGGTCCTGGTCTGAATGTCCCATGGCTATAATAAAATAGTTGGTAGGTTTTAAGAACCTGTTGTCCAAAACTGGGCCTTATTCTTACTCTTGGACCATTTCCACTTTAGATCCAAGAAGATATTCAGTGTAAGAGTAAATATACGGAGGGGGGTTATTGTCAATGTGCCTAATTTGGGCTGACATTTTTATTCTACTTCTCTTATAGTACTCTCAGAAAGAAGACAAATATGAAGAAGAGATAAAGATTCTTACCGATAAACTCAAGGAGGTAAGCCAAGGGGATTGTAAGGAAAGACCCAATACATTTAGAGGTCCATATGGCATGAATGTGGTCTTAGATTGACTGGCTTTAGTTCTTTTGTTTTTTTAATGTTTTATTTAATGTTATTTATTTATTTAAATTTGATCAGAGAGGGACAGAGTGAATAAAAGAGAGAGAACAACCCACCAGGTCCAGTACTTGAACCACGGCCAGCTATGTGGGAGTCCAGCGCTCTTAACCACCACACCACCTGCAGGCCCCAACTGACTTTAGTTCTGAAAGGTCTAGAAGTAGAAGAAATAATTGTTGTCTTTGTCCTGATTCTGACTGATTTCATATTTCCCCCAGGCAGAGACCCGTGCCGAGTTCGCTGAGAGATCGGTAGCCAAGCTGGAAAAGACGATTGATGATTTGGAAGGTATGGAGTCTGGGAGTGCAATTAAAATAGAGAAATATAGAGTAATAAAATAGTTGGTAGGTTTTAAGAACCTGTTGTCCAAAACTGGGCCTTATTCTTACTCTTGGACCATTTCCACTTTAGATCCAAGAAGATATTCAGTGTAAGAGTAAATATACGGAGGGGGGTTATTGTCAATGTGCCTAATTTGGGCTGACATTTTTATTCTACTTCTCTTATAGTACTCTCAGAAAGAAGACAAATATGAAGAAGAGATAAAGATTCTTACCGATAAACTCAAGGAGGTAAGCCAAGGGGATTGTAAGGAAAGACCCAATACATTTAGAGGTCCATATGGCATGAATGTGGTCTTAGATTGACTGGCTTTAGTTCTTTTGTTTTTTTAATGTTTTATTTAATGTTATTTATTTATTTAAATTTGATCAGAGAGGGACAGAGTGAATAAAAGAGAGAGAACAACCCACCAGGTCCAGTACTTGAACCACGGCCAGCTATGTGGGAGTCCAGCGCTCTTAACCACCACACCACCTGCAGGCCCCAACTGACTTTAGTTCTGAAAGGTCTAGAAGTAGAAGAAATAATTGTTGTCTTTGTCCTGATTCTGACTGATTTCATATTTCCCCCAGGCAGAGACCCGTGCCGAGTTCGCTGAGAGATCGGTAGCCAAGCTGGAAAAGACGATTGATGATTTGGAAGGTATGGAGTCTGGGAGTGCAATTAAAATAGAGAAATATAGAGGTTGAAACCTTACCCATTAACCTTCTCTGTATGCCCTAGGTGGCTAGTAGTGACTTCACATGTATCATGTGCCCTGTCCTCTGCCACTGTGAGGTGAAGTAGGTTAAACCTTAGAATTGGATTTTCATGTTTATCTTTTTCTTTCATGAAACTTTACCTAATATTCTGGCATTTGCCTCCTTCCCTTTGAGAAGACTATGATGGCTGTTTTTACGTCCAATTTAGTAGCCTGAAATCTTTAGTCTGAGTTGAAACAGAAAACTTGATTTCAGGAGGCAACACGGGCCCAAGTCACCCCATGGGTACTTACAGCAGTCCTCTTAACTCAGGTTGTGGGGTACCTCTCTGAGAGGTGATGCTGTGGAATGGCCATGTCTCAGAGCTCACCCAGGTGGGGTTCCCCACAGTTTGGCCACTATGGCCACCCTGATGAGGGAAAGTGTCCTTTGCTTTGAGAACTCTTGAGGTGTGCTCCTTTGGTATGCTCTCTGTAGCAGGATGTTCTTTGGAAGAGTTTGGGGAGCAATATGTGGACCAGAGGGGCCACAAATGGTAGTCACACACGGTAGGCAGAAAAGAAATAATCTGAATATGGATGTGGGCTTTTTCCCTTTTCTATTTTTATTAGATTGTTAGTCGTTACTAGGAATTGGGTTAGCCAGGAGGAATTGGGTTCTCTCGAGTGCCTTCAGTAATAGGAGTTTCTAGTCGTGGCTGTGTCCCGCGTCTCCACCTTGCTGCAATTGAGTGGAAGCATCAAGAAGTTCACTTGGTCCTTGGGGACAGTGGATCTGAAAGTGGCCAGTCAAGGCTGCCAGAATCGATGTTTTTGATGTGGGTATTAGACCCACAGTCACACTTTTCCTAATTTCTAATGATTCCCTCTCCATCTGCTTCTGGTACCTTTCATTCTGTCCCCTCGTTCCTCCCTGTGGTTCCTGTGCCTGTCCAGATGAGCTCTATGCCCAGAAACTGAAGTACAAGGCCATTAGCGAGGAGCTGGACCACGCCCTCAATGACATGACCTCTATGTAACTATCTGCAGCAGAGTGGGGCTGGGATCCTGGCTTGTGGGTGGGTTGGGGTACAGGCTGTGCGTAGTGTGCTTGGGTTTTGTCCTTTGGAAACTAGACTCTCCACTCTTTGTCTTTAAAACATTGGTGCTCGTTACTTGCTTGGCAAAAGCTGGGGAGGCATTTAATCTTAGATCTTGTAGAACCCTGATCTACATGTAATTTTTTTATACTTTGTATTCATGGTCTCTTAATAACAGGGCAATTTTTTTTTCCATTTGTTTCTCAAATCTAGTCTTCTAGAGTCTGTATAACTAAGGAAATGGGGCCCAGAGAGCCAGTGGCTTGGGCCCTTTCACATCGTAACAAAGTTGAGACCTTCTGGGTTTGTTTGTGCCCTGATACTAAAGTTGAGGGGAAACACCCCAAATGGGAAATATCAAATTCACCTAAGAATTGAGATGAATTCTAGAGGCAAGCCAAGTAGTAAACAGCACCAAAAAGAGTTGTTGGGGACTTGCTCTGTGTGCCGTGGGTCCCTGATCCTTGATGCTAATCTGCTTCTTTGTATCTTTCCCACTAACCCTGAAAAGAAGCCAGATGTCTCAGGCTATAGTGTCTGGCTTT